CCAACAAGACGAGGATATCTAAAACGAATGCACCAGTTCTGGAAAGAACAACATCCAGAATCAGAAATAACAGAACAGAGACTAGCAGATCAACGCCGATTTATAACACGAAATAAAGTATTTACAGAAACAGAATTGGACGAACTGCAAAGGTTTACCCAGGGCAAAGAAATCAAAGCCTTACAAGAAGTAATTCAGAATGTAGAGGCAAACCAGGGGGAGTTGGCAGTGAAAGAATCCAGTAGAGATATACAACTGTTCTCATTTGGAAACCAGGCACCTCTTCCTCAGGAAGAACAAAACCCTCTAACTAAAGAAATAAAAGAATTGAAACAAAGAATAATGAGCATCTAGAACAGCACAAAAACAACAGAATAAGGCTGCCTGCATTGAAGCTTGTTCCAAAGAAACAGCTAGCACAAGCATTAAAAGATGCAAATACTGCAATAGCAAGTATAAGCACCAATTCACTGCAAGAAACAAACCAACTAATGTACAGCACAGCTGCAGTTATAACAGAATACCTGGGATGTAAAATCAACAAAAAAGAAAAACAAACAAACAGTGCACCAGAAAAAATGGAAGGTTAGACTAGAAAATAAGATCAGCAAGTTAAGATCACATGCAAGCAAGCTAGAACAGATGAAAGAAAAGAAGCTGAAGAACAAGAAGACCAAAGAATACCTAATCAAGAAATACCACTTAGAAACAAGGAAGATCAAGGAAGCACTGGAAATAATAAAGCAACAAATAACAGCTATAGCCAGGAAAATCAGTAGATATGAAGCTCGAATTGCAAACTATAGGCAGAACCTCCAATTTCAATCCAATCAGAAACGTTTCTACCAATCCATCAATGGAGAAACTGCAAGGAATCAGTCAGTACCTGACAAGGAAGAAACAGTGCAATTCTGGAAGCAGATATGGGATAACCCAAAGAAATACAACAAGGATGCAGCTTGGTTAAAAGAGGTGGATGCAAATAAAACAGAAGTTGAAATGAAAGAACTAGTAATAACAACAAAAATGGTAGAAAAAAGAGCAAAGAAAATCAAAAATTGGTCAGCACCAGGTGAAGATGAACTGCATGGGTTTTGGTTGAAACATCTAACTGTTATACACCCACTCATTGCCAAGCAATTCAACAATATACTACAAGGAGGAGAAATTGAAAAGTGGCTAACAACTGGGAAAACCTACCTAATAATGAAAAATCCAACAAGAGGGGCAACACCAGGTAACTACAGGCCAATTACCTGCTTACCAACAACTTTCAAATTACTAACTGGTGTGGTAGCTGATGCAGTACAACAGCATCTAGTTGAAAACAATCTCTTTCCACCTGAGCAGAAAGGAAACCGCCCCAATAGCAGAGGAACAAAAGATCAACTCCTAATAGACAAAATGATCTTGGAAAACTGCAAGAGAAGGAAGACCAACCTGAATGTGGCATGGATTGACTACAAAAAGGCATTTGACTCTCTGCCACATGATTGGATAATCAAGTGCCTAGAAATAACAGGAGTAAGTAGAAACATCAGAAAATTTGTGCAAAGATCGATGGCACAATGGAAGACACAGTTGCAGATCAATGGTGAAAAGCTGGGAGAGGTTAATATCAAGAGAGGAATATTTCAAGGAGATTCATTATCACCATTACTATTTGTTATTGCACTGTTTCCTCTGTCAACAATACTGAATAACTCAGGACATGGTTATCAAACATCAAAAACATCTGCTAGACTATCCCACCTCCTTTATATGGATGATCTGAAGCTGTATGGAAAAACATCATCTGAAATAGAATCGCTGCTCAACACTGTCCGTATATATAGCCAAGATATTGTAATGGAGTTTGGCTTGGACAAATGTGCCACACTTACTATCAAACAAGGAAAAATAGTGAAAACTGAAGGAATCAAGATGCCCCACGAAAATAACATTAAGAGTCTGGATGAGGAAGAGTACTACAAATACTTGGGTATCCTTCAAGCTGACAACATCAAGCACACTGAAGTCAAGAAAAAGATTAGAGGTGAATACATCAAGAGAGTGAAGAAGATCTTAAAGTCCAAACTCAATGGAGGAAATACCATAAAGGCAATCAACACCTGGGCAATCCCAGTCATTAGGTACACAGCTGGAATAGTGGACTGGACTCAAGCAGAACTAAAAGCAATGGATAGGCAGACCAGAAAAATAATGACAATGAATCATGCCCTTCATCCACGCAGTGACATTGATAGACTTTATCTACCAAGGCAAATAGGTGGGCGTGGAATGCTACAAGTACATCAGATGGTTGAAGAAGAAAAAATGGCTTTGGAAGAATATCTGAAGAACAATGATGAAGATGCACTGAAATTAGTATATCAGGAAGGCTTACTAACTACTGGAGAGACCAAACTGGCCTACAAGAAAGACCAAATGAAGAACAGAATAGAGGCATGGGAAGACAAAGCACTACATGGCCAATACATGAAAAAAATAGCTGGGAAAGCAGATAATAATAAAACCTGGCAATGGCTAAGAGCAGGAAAATTGAAGAAAGAGACCGAGGGACTAATTCTGGCTGCACAAGACCAAGCCTTAAGGACAAATGCATACAAAGTCAAAATTGAGAAGACAGCAACAGACAGTAAGTGCCGCCTATGCAAAGAAGCTGAAGAAACAGTGGACCACTTGGTAAGCTGTTGCAAGAAGATTGCACAAACTGATTACAAGCAGCGGCATGACAAAGTAGCAACAATGGTGCATTGGAAGATCTGCAAAAAATATCATTTGCCTGTAAGCAAAAACTGGTGGGATCATAAAATAGAGAAAGTCATAGAAAATGATAAAATTAAACTGCTCTGGGACTTCAGAATTCAAACAGACAAGCACCTGCAACATAACACCCCAGACTTAACAATTGTCGATAAGAAAGACAAAAAAGTCTGGATAGTGGACGTGGCAGTGCCTGGAGACAGCAGAATAGAAGAGAAAGAACTGGAGAAGATAACAAAATACAAAGACCTACAAATAGAAATAGAAAGACTGTGGCAAAAGCAAGCAAGGGTAGTACCAATAGTCATAGGCTCCTTGGGTGCAATCCCAAAACAACTGGAGCACCACTTGAACACCATTGGCATTGACAAATTTGCTATTAGTCAATTGCAAAAGGCGGCCTTATTAGGAACTGCTTCCATCCTGCGACGATACCTGTAATACCATCAAACATCCACATCTGCCTATCCCAGGTCCTGGGTAAGGACTCGATAGGTAGACAAAATGCCAAATCCAGTCTGAACATCTGGCTGACTGTGCGATGATCGATAATAATAAAGTTGGAAGGGACCTTGGAGGTCATCTAGTCCAACCCCCTGCTCAGGCAGGAAACTCTATACCATTTCGGACAAATGGCTGTCCAGTCTCTTCTTAAAAACTTCCAGTGTTGGTGCATTCACCACTTCAGGAGGCAGGTTGTTCCACTGGTTAATTGTTTTAACTGTCAAGAAGTTTTTCCTTAGTTCTAGGTTGCTTCTCTCCTTGATTAGTTTCCACCTGTCCTGCCTTCAGGCGCTTTGGAGAATAGCTTGACTCCCTCTTCTTTGTGGCAGCCCCTGAGATATTGGAACACTGCTATCATGTCCCTCCTCGTCCTTCTCTTCATTAAACTAGACATACCCAATTCCAGCAGCCGTTCCTTATATGCTTTAGCCTCCAGTCGCCTAATCATCTTGGTTGCCCTTCTCTGTACTCTGTACTAGAGTCTCAACATTGTTAATTTAAGAGATCTACCATCTTAAAAACAGAGCAGTATCTCAGAAATGTCTTTATAGCACAGAAAGTATCATAAATCTTCTGACCAACTATACATTGCATCTCAAAAGCAGATCAACAAAATTAGCTCATGATTCAAATGTATTTCACCTTCAAAAGTGCTTAGACTAGAAACAGAATCTGACATATTTTTCAATTTATGGAGAGAGAATATTTTCAAATAACTTTTTATAAACTCATCTATCATTTACTTATAGTGCGATTTGTCTTATAATGAAACTCATAGAGAAACAGACTTAAAATCTTCTAAAACAGCGAAACAAATTACTTTTCATCATTACCGAACATATGTAACTATTGTAGAAAATTGTTAAGTGTGAAAAGCAAAATTAAAAAGAGTAGAAAAACCAAAGCCCCAGACAAAGATCCATTCACCAAGGCAAAAGAAACATTCATTTTTATAGAAAAAGTCACAAACTTGAGATTTGGTGATAAAATACTCAAAATATATTCTAACAATATGGAATTATAAGTAAAGCTGTAATCTATTTTATACTAATACTATTTATTGCATTTTATATTGGGTGTAACCATGGTGAGTAGTAGCACTGAATGTAAAAGATCTCAGATTTGTTATCTCTAGGTAGGAACCCTGTCTGAATAATTGGAGTTGTTTTCAGTCTTTTGTAAGGCAATATTGAGCTAGACCAGGGGTAGGTAACCTTGGCTCTTTTATGACTCGTGGACTTCAACTCCCAGAATTCCTTAGCCAGCATGGTTCAGCTTGGAAACCTCTCTCTTTCTCCTCAGCATGGCTGGCTCAGGAATTCTGGGAGTTGAAGTCCACGAGTCATAAAAAAGCCAAGGTTGCCTACCCCTGAGCTAGACAAACAGCTCTTTATATTTTTATTCTGTTTGTATTCTGATGCTTAAATAGCACTGTTTTAAAAAAAACAGATGATCCCATTTATTTCATGTCTGGTCCTATCTGGACTTGTAATAACCTCCACTGAAATAAATGAGAAATACCTATAGGCATATGACATGGATTTCAATAATCTGGAGTTTAATTCTAGTAAACAGAAAAACAAATTCCATAACTTTCCAGAAACATTTCAAATATGTTATATTTGACTTTCTCTCTGAATGCTTTTCAACAACTTCTATCCCTAAAAGACATGAATAAATTTTAATATAGGCACATGTATGAACTGATTTCCTTTAAATTGGCCACTTACCTTTTCAACTGGTGCATTTTCTTCACATGTTGCTACACCAGCCTTTCTTGATGCAGTTTTTGATCTACTCAGTCTACGGGATACTTTTTCTCTAAGCAAAGTAGCATATCCAATGTGCTCATAGATAGGATTTGTCGTCATTTTGGAAATATATTCAGAAGCCTTGGTCTCTATATACAATGTTATTAAGCCATCTGTTACCAAATCATGGATTGATTCAAATCTTTTCTCCCCTACGAAGTGTTTTCCATCATAGAAAAGACGGTAATTTAAGGTCTGACTCCCAAATCTGCATTAAAACACAACAAAGGTGTTGAATTAGTGTTTGAGCATCATAACTGTATTTTTAAAATAATTATATGCATTTTAAATACCCATTATATAAATATTGGAGAAAAGAATTACGTAATAAAGATTATATACAATTAAAGCAAATTTAACAAAAAAATGATGGGCCAGTGCAGAGCAAATTGAACTGAAGTTTGGAATAATTCAGTCTCTACTTTTCTTTCAAAGTAAATATTTTCTCATCCATCTCCTGGCAGAGTTAAACACACTTAATATTTACATTATAGTACTGATTGCATTAATAGTATTGTATTATAGTATTGGTTGTATTGCATTTCCTTGTTAAATAAAAATAGGAGCTAATTTCAACTTTAAAAATGGAAACAGTGGAAACATATCTGCATTTTCAACAGCGAGAGAAAATGTACTTTTCAGAAAAAAAGGTTATTGTAAGAGATCACAAGATCTTGTTACATAATCATTGTTCATATTTTTAAAATTTGCAGTTCTGCATTGATGTTTATTAAGGTAAGGTAGTTTCATACTCCTCAGATTCTTCTGTTTGCAATGTCTACATTTATACAGTACTGCACAATTTGGAAATGATATTTTAGATGCTTTAAAAACAGCTTGTTAAAATACAGCTTGTTAAAAGTCAACAAGTTTGCAATATCTAATAATTTCAAAGGCTGATATAGTTTAACTTCTCTAGTTGTTTTGGACTACAACACCCATCATTCACATCTAAATGTTTTGGTTTCTTTCTTGTTTGGATTAAAGCATCCTTAATATATTACATCATGTTTTAAGATATATTACCTTGAATGTAGTTATTCACATTTCATTCACGAATTATGCCTTACATTTTTGAGATTAACAAACATTTCTTAAAATTTATGGTGGATGTGACAGAATTTACCTAAGTGCCAGAGTGTAGCACCCAGGTTGTCGCTGACTTTCTCTAAGAATATATGCTCCCTCTACTCCTCCAAGCAATTCATCAGCTTGCTCACGAGAAATGATCCCGTGAAATCTAGAAAAACAAAGGCAGTTTATAATTCTTAGGGGGATGAGTGAATAAATAAATCAGAAGCATTTGATATTGGGGGGAGAGGAGAAAAGAATAAAGCACAAAAGTTTCTAACAGGCCCCCCAAAGGCTAATAATATTAATATGTGAAGCTGGAAGTTTTTAAATAGGACATTAAAACTGGATTCCCACTTTTAAAAGATGGACTGCCTTGCCGTTTAAAAATTTAATGTTATATCTTGTTCAGTTTCCTGCATCCCCCTGCAATCACATGATTGAATTTTGGGCACTTTACAGCTGCTTTTGCAATATCCTGGATCATTTTGGCTGTGGTTTGTTTTAGTATAATTAATATAATTTCTGAACATTTCATTACCAAACTAGGTAACTTCAGCAGCAGGATTTTCTTGTCCTATTTGGAGCATGGTAAAAGAAAGCAAAATAAAATAAAATAAAATAAATCCAATGCATTGTGGCAACTACCATATTTTTGATAATGTCAATTGTTTGGAAGGCAATATAAAATATTCTCAATCCAAAATATTTCCATTAAAATGTTCTGGTCTAAGTTCAAAGTAGGTGTTTTGAATTTGAACAGACTGCACCAACTCTACCACTATTCTGATTTTGAGGTAAGTGCCCTCAACTTTAAAGCCAACTCTCAAATAAACTGGACTCAAAATGATGGTGTTTCAAGCTGTGAACATTTGCAATAAGATTGGAATGGCATTGGGTCAGCATGCTTCAAATTTATTTATTTATTTGATAATTTATATCCCACATTTTTATTATTTTTAAAAATAACTGAAGGCAGCAAAACCTATTTAACACACCTTCTGTCTCTTCAGATTCAAAACTTTTGGAATCTGAAATGTTTTGCACACTCCTGTTCAAAAGTATCTGCGTTAAAAAAAAGCCATCATTTTAAAACAAATTAATCAAAATTTTGCTAATTATTAGTTAATGTATGCCATATGAAATAACAAATACTTTAATACATACTCTCTTCCATAGTATTTTGGCCTGTTCTCCACCTAAATCAATTAAAAAAATTATTAGATTCGAACTAATTATACTAAAAAAAATCAAATAAAAATTAGCCCCAAACCTAAGGGTTTTTTTTACATACTATGTTGAAAAGAAAAGTAGATAGATACACCAGTAGCAAGCTTTTCCTCTTTTGTTACACTAAATTATACTCATCAATTAAATATGGGATGGGTAGATCAGTTCTCCAGTTAATCTAATGAAATTGTACTGTAGCTGAAATACTGCTAATATAGGATTTCTGGAAATGTATTAAAACACTTCCTTTTATGTATTCATCTCTGGTTTTGCATAATGAAGTCTTTTGATGCACTACAAAATGTCATTATATTATGAGCTTTGGCTTCCACAATCTTCTTTAAATAAAGAAATTCCATTTCATTGTAATGAAATAATTAAAATGTATACTCCAAGGAAAACCATAATCATTCTAAATATAAAAGAACAAGTCTCTATATCAGCTTTTTAAAAGGGTAACTGTAATAATTCATTGCAATGCAAATAATTTCCATCTTAATGTACTTCTGGTTGCTACCTAAAAATTTTCTAGGAAATGCACTTTCAGGAGATAGTGTTCAGATAGTAAAATATCACAGTGAGTTTACAATTGTCATACGCACTGCAATGTAATTATCCTTGGTAAGCAAATACATGTTAGTCCAGTAGGGGGCAGATCCTTACAGAATATAATTTGTACTTAATTTTGCTTCTGTTTATTTTAATATTGACAGAAATAATGTTTACAGGTGTCCCTAATTTATCCAGTCCTGTACTGTATTGAAGTAAGCAATTCCTGTCATCACTCAATGTCATCTGGCTAAATAGGAATGGGAAATAATCACATTTAGAAATACATTTATTGCCCATTTCTTTTTTGGCAAGCAGTTGAATGACTTTATCAAGAAATCCAGGTTTCAGCTAAGCAGGTTTGAGTTGAGATTGGTCAGAAATATCTGAATAGTAGCAGATTGGGCAAAATTGGGTTAATCAATCATGTTTGTGTGGGGTATTTCCCCCCCTATTTTGTTATTGCAAATGAATGGATTTTTTACAAGAAATTAGGTATTTTTGAGTTTACCTGAAATAAGTTAAAAACTGAGTTAATTGGCAGCTGGAGCATCTGAAGATAGTGTACAAACAACACTTCTAAGGTGGGAAATGTAATCATACTATTCTAAGAAACTTCCCATCTTCCCTCTTTTTCCCTTTCCCCCTTCTTATTTTTCTTGTACTGTCTATTTTGGCAGCTGCTATCTAGTGCTCTCAAAGTCTTTACTAAATACAAAAAAATTAATATATACTTTATTTCCATTCCAATAAGACTGTTCACTTTTTGTTTTTTCCCATTATTATGAAATAGTTATTATGGCTAACCACAAATATCGCTAATGTAAAATCAAGACATGGAACAAAGTTATGGAGAATGTTTTTAGTAACAGACTGTCCATACAATAATGAAGTCAGATTTCTTTTGAAAATGAGCTGAAGCTATACCTCCTTTGGACAGCTGTCCTCATACTGAAATCATGTTTTCTTTTCTCATATTCTCTAATGCTGAAATATAGAATGCAACCTTCTAGAGTTTTGGAATATATTTTATCCCATTTATGTTATACATAAAAGTTCCATGCATTTTGCTTGTATTATAATAATAGCTCTATATCACATTTTGTGACTTTGATTGTTAGTGACTATCCCATACAATGACTGTACACAGCAATGAAAAAGTAGTTTTTGATCAAGTCTTGCCTTTACCACTTTTGTAGGCTTATAAAACAAAGGGAAGCTGAAATAAGATCATAAGCATAGCCACAGTTTTGCTTAGCAACCACTTCACCTAATGATCAAATTATTGGTCCCAAATGTGATTTACACAATTTTCTACCATATTTTATTTTCTGAAGAGAAAGAAAAAACGTCTTTATAACAGCAACACCTTCTAGGAAATGTGGAGGCATTCACATTTCAAAGCATTTTATTATCTGTGAAGGCTCTGTTTTATTATTTCTCTCTGCAGATTTCTACTATATGATGTATCGCATGAAAAGATTGTATACTTTGTAGGCCTCCATTCAATATAACTTGTATTTTATTTCCTCAGTATTAACAGAGTAAGACTTGGAAGGGATCTTGGAGGTTTTCTAGTCCAACTGCCTGCTCAAGCAGGAGACCCTATACCATTCCAGAGAAGTAGCTGTCGAGTCTTTTCTTAAAAACTTGCAGTGATGAAACATGTGCAACTTCTGAAGGCAAGTGGTTCCACTGGTTAATTGTTGTTACTGTTAGGAAATGTCTCCTAGCTCAAGTTGCTTCTGTCCTTGAAAGAGTACTTCTCAAGTACTACATTGAAGAACTACTTTGGTATAGTATTTCATTTTTCAAATTACTGCCCTTAGAGCAGCTGCAATGTGAACATTTCTGAGAAGCAGAGAAATGGTGTAACAAAAACGTAAGAAAACTAAGTAAAAATGTGTAACTATTATTAAATGAAACAACTTAAAAATATATGATCAGTTAGATAATGTAATATGTTTCAAAACTTAAGGATGAAAAGGCATGAAAAGACTTTTGCAACTGAGAGGCCTGTTAGTTTTAATAAACATTTTGCAAATATCCTTTTTGTATAAACATTCAAAACTTCTCTTCAATGCTAGTTGATTTTCAGGATCTAAAAATAAATGATAGTCTGTATATGGCTTAACAACATCCATCCTGAAGTACTATTATAGTATGCATCCTAATTCAAACTAAAAAATGGAGGAAAACTATTTATGAAAGTAATGCTTTGAAGTCTCTTTCCATATTCACCTCTAGTTGACAAAAATCAAAAGAATTTTGATGATATACAAAGAAGTGGTAGTGATTATTGTCTTAAAACCACCAAATTCAAGCATCAAATTGCTAGAGCTAAAATAATGATCAAGGTATAAATGTGGTTTAAAATTTGTTTTAGTAGTTCAAAATGGAAATGTCGCTATGAAAAATTGAGACGCAATATAGAAAATAAACTTAATCTAAAAGTAGTGTGACATTTTCCCCCTCTACTGATCAGTTAAAGAATAAAAAAATTCCCATCCATCTTAGGAAATATATAAAATATACCTTTTAATCTCCCCAATATTTCTCAAAATTAAGCAAAACCCAAAGCAAATCAAAGTCCAAAATCATTTCCTGCACTTTTAAAATGTAATCTATAAATTTAAAAATGCATATATTTACTGGAAGTATAAATGTATGTCATACTAAAAAATATTTTAGGATTTTGTAACTGACAATGGTAGAGTCATCTTTAATCACTGCCAGTATCTAAAGATCAATTTAGAGCCATAAAGCAATTTTGCTTCCTCTATAATTATCTTTGTGCATCCACCCACCACATTGCTTAATCTCTAATGTATTAATGATGGGAAAATATGAAAAGTGTATTAGTAAGATGTTCAAAATCCAAAATATAAAGCTTGAAGATGTCTTTAGAATGACCTGTAAAACATCCGTCTTCAGAAGAATAAAAGCATCTTTTGTGTACTAATTGCATTACAAAAAATAAGAAGTATTATTTGGTAATAGGTGGGTTAGGGTATTATTATGAGAATATGCATTCAGTAGATTAAGGAGTATAATTGATTAATTGGCAAAGCTGTTTGTAAATTTCTGTTCTAAAAATAACAGTTGCAATAGTTGCAGAACTTACAACATCTGAGAAGTGACATAACAAGCCCAACTCTAAAGAATTAGTGAGCTAGTTTTCTCTGCATAAGTAGTCAATATAGCTACATTTATCTAAAAGAGAGTATTCATCTACCTGTACACTATATAATTAATAAATTCCAGTTTCTGTACTGGGATTGAACAGGAAATAAAATATGTTTAACATATTAACAATTAATATGTTTGATTAACATATTAACAATTTTTCTTTACATTTGCATTTTTGTGGTTTGTAATATATTTTCTGAATTGGAAGCAACCCGGAGTCATTGACTGAGATGGGCAGCTATAGAAATTGAATGATGGAATGAATGAATGAATGAATAGATGGCTGGATAGATGAATGAATAGATGAATGCATTACAAGTGCTCTGTTTTGGACATAATTAACAGACACCAATATTTGCCATATCTACATTAATTTTTCCCATTAAACTGCACATTTCTATATAAAAGTGATGTCTGATGGTGGTAAAAGCAGAAAGAACGGTTAAGAATGACATACAATATTCCTCACAAACTGTTATTTTCTGGTTAACCATTCTTATTTCTCATTTTTCTTTGGCATGATATTTTCTTTTGCAAACAATATTTTCTTTTACAGATAAATTGGAAAATCCAAAGAATTTTCCCAAGTTACAGGGGAATACATGTTAGCTGAGAATCTTCTTTGAACTGGTGTGTTAGCAAGGCAAAAGAAATCACTGTGTACAATAAAGAACTCCACCCTCAATAAAAGTTCCTTTGTATTATAATCTATAGGCAGACAAACAGAAGAAGTTGAAGGGGAAATATTTATATGTGATTAACTTGAGTCCATTTCACACCAAATTATGGAATACATCAAATGTAGCATAGATCTTCTTATTTACCTGAAGGAGTTACGGACTTCATTCTGTTGCTCTAATTTTAATTTTGAACAAAAAATACTATTTTTCTCTAAATTTAATTTTATTTATACAAGAATGAGCTTATATAAATACAAATCTACTCCTTCTTATATATCTGTTCTGGTGAATTGTTGACAATAGTAACAATATAACTTCCCTTGAGTCTTGGATTAGATATTTCCTAATTTATGCACTGTATAGGAAGGCAGTATACTTCCATTTGATGACGCTCTCCCTGAATATCCCTCAGTTTCACCCCTAGGTTTTTAAAAAGTTCTCAATAGGAAATAGTAAAGCACCTTGTAAAAATGTAATCTTATCAGAATGCTTAAAATTAATAATGGCTTATGTCTCCAATAAAGGAGAATAGTTGTAGCTCAGGGTTGAAATGAGGCTTCTGGGGGTCTCTGAGCTTTGTTGTTTGGTTGCATGTTTCCTTACCCAAACTAGGTAATATCATCAGTACTAGTGTCTAGTTTGAGTAATGAAACATCTGCAAGAAAGCAGCCAAGCTTAGAATCTTCTGTATCCCTAAAGATTGACTACATCATCCCCATCTTCCAAATTATTTCTTTCATGGCTCTGAATAAAAGATAGTGTCCATCTCCATTTAGCTGTATTTACATTTAAAGACTGAAGTTGGAATAAACCAATAGCTATTCCCTTTGGGACTGTCTGTGCTCACAAGATAATTATAGCTCTGTTGTATAGAAGTTTGTGATATATTGAGATCTCCGGTATATTGAGATGGAGATAATATAACCTGTTGCTTGTTCTTCAATTATTTGTTTTTTCCTTTCTTTTTGTTCCATTCTGACAGTTAACAATTTTTGATGTTTGTTCATGTTTAATAAATAAACCTCAAGATATATCTTTGCTAGTTGAATAGTGAGTAATGTGTAGCTGGCTCTGATCTGGATATAGGAATTTACTGCTTGCATGCCAGGTGCCAATAAACTGGAAATTACCACAGTAATTTACCAACAATTAACATATGATTGCTTTTGTTTTACTTGATGAAAATATTTTTATCACTAGGCAAACAATCAAATTAGAAATATAATAATAACATTTATTTCCTTAAAATGGTATTTAATAACCATAAAATCCACAGTAGAAAAGTAATCTTTCATGAAGCTGAGATAGACCATTAATAAATATTCATGAAGTACTGGGTACTCATCTATCTGGAAAATCACTTAATAATCCAGTATTACATTCATTCCTATTTCATTATTTAGATAGTGAGGATTACCGGTACATGAAAGTTCTGTCAAGTGGATTGATGGAATCAAAATATACAATGGAGTTACTCTGATCTTCTGTTTATTATTGTCAAAAAAAAATCCATATATTAGTTTGCCCCAGCATTTTGGAACTTAATGATATTTTGATTAACTTCATATTGGTACATAACAATATAGATGTTAATAAAAATGGCCACAATTACTGGACTGATGATAGATTCTGAGAATCTGTTTTACATTTTTTCTTATTCCTACTAATTGTAGTCAATCCCAATTTTGCATGAATGGAGCTGCTGTTGGAAAAATCTCCTGCCTAATGCTTGAAATAGAACTCTTTCCAGCCAATCAGTGATCATTGGCAGGACCAATTCTATTTCAGAAGAAAGGTTTAAATTCTTTGATAAAGTCTACTAAGGCATAAAAATGATTGCTAACCCATGAGCAGATCCATAAGGAAGCAAAATTTAATCTGCCTGTTGAAATCCAGATTTCATCAGATACTCTGATAAATTGATATACCAGATTAATGATCTGTCCTTGGAACTATTTTAATGTTCTACACAAAGGTCTGGAATGTACAAGCAAAGAACCCATCTCATTAATTAGTTATTTAACAACCATAAAATCCCACAGTAGAAAAGTAAGCTTTCATGAAACTGATAGCCCCTTAATAAATATTCATGATATTTTTGGAATCAAAAGGTGATTGTAGATATCTTTCAAAATATTGTGCAAATAGATGTAGCTACTGTGGATATAAACATGAACATAAACTAAGAAACAACTATTTTTTAACAAAACTGATGAGTATGCAATCAGAAAATAAATGATTAGTGTTCTTATATAAGACTATATTTCAGTAATATAGAAAGAGCAAATGTATACATTTAATTTTATCAACAAGTATTTTGGGGCATTTATCAAAACAAATCTTGTCAGATGACATATTTGTTTGGAAAAACTATATAGACAGTAGAAAATAAGGGAAGCAATTAAAAACTACATATTTCTGAACATAAAAACTATTACTATTATCTAAAGACACTGTAATTATATAACGACTACATGCTTTTAGCTACAGTCTAATACATAGCATACTGATGTAACTTTTGAATGCCCACTTTGCAAATGAAAAATAAAGATTTAAAATTTGATGATAAAATATATCTACAATATCCAATGAAAGATGATCAGTATAATGAATATATTGCTAATAATTTGTTTAATGAAATAGTATGTGCAAAAAACTAAACTGACCTCATGAGGACAAATGATCCTTTTGGGACGAGGTGCTTCCTGTTGCAACTGATATACTGTTGAACATAAAAGTGCAATCATAGTTAGAAGATTGCAAAGAATACCAGCATTTATTTTCACATATTTAAGGCAAATACTTTGAACTAAATTGAAATAAAATGAGAATGGCTGTAAATGGAAATTATACACAAACATATTTCAAACGTATGCGTAAAATAGGCTAATAAAACTGAGCTGCAGAAATCTGAATGACCTGTGAAAGGCAACAAAAAGATACAGAGAATTCTAATCTTTGCATTTACAAGTCAGACAAATGGACAGGCACTTCAGGCATGGTATCCAATTGGGTGACTTTCCTAGGAAGAAACTAGTGGCAAATCACTTCTGCAAATGGTGCCTGGAAAACTGCATGGAATTGTCAATATAGTTGCCAGGAGTCAAGGCTGTCTCAGAGACAGAAAAATATAAAAGTAAGTGTAAAAAAAATAGTAAGGTAGGTTTGTAACAATATACTTCATAAAAACAACATTGTCCATGAGGTGAACTAGGCAGAATTTCTATATCGGCTCCATCCTTGACTTAACTTTTAGCTTCCTTTCCCTCTCTCCCAGAATTACTTTCCATTGAGCTCTAATGATCCTATGTCAGTAAATGAGCTGGTTAGCAATAATTCAAGTAAATTAAATACAGTAGAATATTACCTGGGTCAGCAAAAAAAAAAAAAAAGCATTGTGCAATTGCATTGTGCAACTTGTGAGTATTCAGGGAGTATATAAGTAAGAAAAGCTTAGCTTTTTTAAAGCAGACAAACTGTAATCATTTAATTGGTTAAAAACCCTCCTCTTTTTTCATGATTTCCTTTTGCTGTTGCTGGAAGATAAATTCATATTTGCATAGGGATCAGTATTTACTGAAGATCTTTGCTGAATATCCCAGTTGTTTGACAAAGCTTTATTAGAATATTTAAAAAGTCAAACAATAATTGATTTTGCTCTATCAAAATTAAGTTTCTGTTGTGTCCATTGTAACTTTGAATACATTTGCCTTAACTTCCATAGTACTTAACTCCTACAGAATGTGACTGCAAGAGAAGCTATTCACAATTTAAAAATCATGATCCATGTTTCTTTTGAATTTTTGGCTGAAGATACACAAACAAGAGTTCTTTGGGTAAAATTTCAGAAAGAAGTTTGGTACATCAAGTGTTTAGGTACAATAACTAAATAACACTATTTTAAAATGAGACAATAGTAATTTAGCCATCTGTAGGCTTTATAGGTTAGGTGAAAATCTCATTGTTTTTTGTTCTATTGATAAATGTTGGAAGCTTATTCTCAGCAGTTCCTTGCATCTACCTGTATTAGTGATTTCAAACACAATAAAGATAATTTTTTTTGCCTTTTTTTCCAATAATAAAAGGTGTGACTTAAGATACCTAGGTTGAACTGTCAAATTGGAGACTGCACCAATCCAGATAATTTCTGCATATTAACATTCCATGTCTGTAATGTTGCTGTGTTTATGAAATAATATTTAGAATTCTCCTTTTCTACTGCATTGAAAATCCTTCCAATCCCCATTTTCCATTATTTAATACCATAGTTATTTTGATATTGGAAACATACACGCCACATGTATAGTTTAAGAAAACAGAATTGGATGCACAAATCCAAAACTGTGTAAAAAAATTAATTTCATCCATGGTTCCCCCACTTGACATCATTGCTCCATAAACTATGGCCCTTAGAATTAATAAATATGTTAGATACAGCCTCTTCAAATGATCACACATTTTGTCCAAAACCCGAAAAAGATCAATAGATGTGATTAAGTTTGCAAGGCAGGGACAAAGAGTCGGACACCAGATGAGACTATTATCTAAACATTGTGCACAACAAGCAATCAGAAACTCATACCTTATTAGGCCTGGAGAAAGATAATAATTCTATTCTATTCGATAAAAGATTGGATTGTAGCTTATCTTCTTTGTGGTTAAGAGATCTTACATCTGAAATAGCAACTTATAATGCATTCAAGCCTTGCTTATGACTCTGGCAGTTCTTGAATTCTGCTTGATTTCTAGAGAGAGATTTATTGCTAGGTCCTAGAAAAAGCTCTGACAGAGGTGTGGATAACAATAAAAATGATCAAATCCAGCAATCCATGTAATAGATACAAACTGTGGTTATCATCTGGAAATCCTATCTATCTATTCTTCAAATTCTATTCTTTAAATGCATCCACCTTAAGTATAGGTTGTCCTTCAGTACGAAAAAATATAACTGACATTTTATTCACTACGCTCTTGGAAATCTACGAGACAGTTTCCAGGAAACAAAAGCTGCATTCAAATCAATGTTATCTGTCATGAATAAATGGCCTGAAAACTAAAAGTTGAGAAAAAAACCATTTACCTCTGTAAAAGTATCTATTAGAAGCTACTATCTTCCTTAGTAGCCTTCATATATCTTGAGGTTGCAACTCTGAGAATTCTCTAAAGAGTTGCTGCTCTGTATTTGATTACAGAGAGCTAACATTCTGTACCAGGAAATATATTTTACATATATTACAGATCAAGTCATTAATCTCTCCAAACCATTGTTTAGTTTAATTTATAATCTTTCTCTGATTCAAGTTTTAAAACATTTGACTTTAGATCTTTAAATCCTTTTTTTTTCTTTTTCTCTAGGCTCTTTTCATATGTTATATCTCCAAATTACATTTGTGGATGATATCTGCAACATTTCCAAATTAATTTTCTTCCCTCTTCCCATTGTCATTTTCTAGATTCTGAATACTCACAGTATGATTTCCATATTGGTGGTTGATATTCTTCAGCATCTAGAATAGTAATAAAATAAATGTTAATTAATCAAGCAACCCAATGAAAATATCAAAAGTACTACCTTTTCTACAGAATGATTTTAATTCTTACATGACACTATTTTAATCATGTTGTCTCTTTATATTCTGGAATAATCTTTTAAAATTCTACAAAGTAATGTCCAACAGATATTTATATGGCTTTATTAAGAATTAAAAGTGGCATTCAATGGTTATTTTCTGATCAAAAATCTCAGCTATTGTCATATCGGAGCAATGCAACTTTACAGTATTACTATAATAATTAATAATTTGTGATATAGGCAGAATTTGGTCAATGATGGTAAAAGTGAAAAATTTTAGTACAGGACAAGACAAATAAAGATGGACCTGAGTTACCCATGTTTTCAGTCCTTTGCCAAAATCAGGTAATGGTCAGTGTTAGGCTCTTTGCAGATCAAATGAAGCAGAACAAAAAAAAAAACAGGCAATGTAGTACCAGCAATCTCTTTGATAGATGAGGTAGAAATGTCATTATAGCTACCATCCTCAGATGGTACACATCATATAAATGATCAACAATTAATGGCAAAGTAAGCTACATTTTGTGATATGAAATAGTACTTTTACCACTGCACTTTCACAGATTTATATACTCAAGAACAATTACAATAACTTGTATACACACTTATATATGACAATATCATTTATTTACAAAAGCTCTAACAGAACTTTTTCTATTTTTTTATAATTGATGTATTTATTCTTTTACAAGATTAATAAAAAACAAAGTGCATTTCTTCAGCTCATGCATTAAAATATTATACATATCACAAGCATGTGCAAAGGCTATTTGCTAATTAACTACCTTGACTTTCAACTGATTATTTGGAATTACAATAGCTTCTGAAAGGGTGCTTTACATCCCATAAAGCATTTTGAGCCATTGTAAAATGTTGTGCCACCTCTCCTTCCCAAATCACATGACCTCATTCCAGGCATTTGGCACCTGGCTTATATATAGTACTAGTTAAAACATCCTACAGTCACATCAGCACAATTTGCAATGTTCTTTGCTGTTTCTGTGAAAATAGCTTCACATTTACAATTGTGTGATTTGCTTAATGGTGGTAAAATCAGGTCTGGTCACATGGGTGCCTTGACTATGCTATAAGATGGAAATTCCAGTCCCATCTGTAATCATAAGTCAAGGACTGCCTGCACAGAATGTTTTCTTTTTTAAAAAAATATTAATCTGCAAATTAATGTTAATTATATTTCATTAGTATTATGATACATGTAGCATCTGAATGCATCATTCAGTGGAACTAGTATTTATTATTATACCTTCTTATTCACATAAACTATTTCTTGCTAATTCAATCTTGTCAGTTCTTTAAAGGTCATAGCTGAAGGCCAGAAATGACATTTTTTCTCTCTCCCACTATTTAAGTATTTGGCATTAAAGCTTATTAAATTACCTTACTGAGCTTAGCCTTGATCAGTAATTAGATAATGTTTGGGTTAATAAAGAAAAATATGATGACACATTGTAGGGCTAAAACATTTTTTTACTATAGTTTTTTTCCTTGCTATGCAATTTCAAAGAAACAAAGTAATTATTTATATTTTAATTAAAGTTTAATATTTGTTATGTATCTTTAAAAATACATTAAAACATTGCTCTTGAATAAACAAATGACTCATTATTATATTAGTGTAATGAAGACGAGTACTCATTATTAGAAGCAATGCTTGTGGAAATATGCATATATTTTTTAATATGAAATAAGAAACATTTCAAATTTCCAATCTAAGTTTGGATCCAATTCAATTTTACTTATTTATATAATAGTAGCCTAATGCTGCAATGTTCATGAGGAGGAGGGTTGTCCAAAAAAAGTTAAAATAAGATATCCTTACAAATAGTTAAGCTAAAATGTATTCATTTATAACAAGGAAAACACTACAATTAATAATTACAGAAAACAAACAGAGTACTATTTGCAAGTGGATCCAAAAACTATGATCTCTTGATTCAACTTGCTCTTTTTGAGATTGTTTGATACCAGATATATCAAATGTACACTGCAAAATTCAAATGATCAGAAATGGCAGTCAACAGTTTATATATACTTTGCTTCCATCTAGCTGTCAGTCATAGGCAAGTAGGCTACTAGACACATAGAGCTCAGATATGGCATGCTTATTTAATAGAAATGACCTAAAGATGGGAAAAGATCAAGATTCACTATTATGTCTAGCATCATCATGACTTCCTGATCCAGCTTTCTTGTGCAGAGGAAGGTTTCTGTAGGTTTTTGTATTATTTTTTTCCCTTCTGTTCAGTTGTGCTGAGACATTCTATTCAGAACAAAAATGAATTATGGACCATGGAGTCCAGTTTCTGTGCAATTAATAAACACACTTAGACACAAATGCATACAAATAGAGAATCAGTTTGGTGTAGTATGAGAGCCAGAAACTAGAAACCAGGAGACAAAGAGTTCTAATTCCACCTTAAGAACAAAGCCAGTTAGACCACCTTGAGCTATTCATTCAGCTCTAGGAAGGAGCCAAGGGCAAATAACATCTGAAAACCTTGCCAAGAAAACTTATCCATGCAGTCTCGAAGAATTAGACACAACTGAACAAGAAATTACACACATACACATAAACACAAATATTTAACTAAATATGATATATAAATACTCCATCTTGAATATTTCTCACGCTTTCAATTCTTGTTCTTAAGGATATCCAGCCATCCAATCAAGCAGATATTCGAGTACCTCTGTAGCAAAAACAACATACATGGTTTTGTTCTGGGTTCTTTAATTGCTAAGAGTTTCATAAAATTAATGCAGTCAAGTGGTAAGAGATATGAATTAGCAAACTGACCTGAACTAGGTATCCTATTATCTGAATGGTAGGAAAAGAAATCATACCAAGCAATTTGTCTAATCTCTGCACAGTTCACAATGAGAACACTTTCCTTAAGCCTGTTTTAATATCTGGTTCTTAAACTTGTTTGCAGGCAGACTGTACTGATTCTACTTTGGATATGCACACATGCAGGCAAGTACTGGGAGTGGACAGCTAATTGTCTATGTGTTCTTCTGCCAAGAACTAGCAGATGTTCCTGCTAGAAAAATTTATTTATGTTGTCTTTTATCTGACTAATACCAAGAACACCATGCAGGGACTGAAATATTTTTTAAAAACTCACAGGCTCTGGCAAAATAATGATTATGTCATAATGCATTAGATTATCCATTTTACACAAGTTTAAATGAGTCAGCAGCACTATAGATGTATATTTTACTTGTCATATGTTTCATGTCTGTGATCAATGAACATAATAAAGTTTGTCATTGCTGCAAAGAGGAAATTTAATTCACCAGCAATTATGCTACTGGAAAAAGGACATAACTATAATTGCTATGTTTTCAAATACTTTTGTTGGCTTACTGAATTTGAATGACTCCTTCAGTCATTCTGCTATCAAACTGGTCCCTTGACTCTTAATTCAACCATGCAACCATCAGAATGGTGGAGTTGAATGCGAGTTGAAGGATCATGAATAAAGGCAAATATACAGGTCCTAAGATAATGTTGCAATAATAATCCAATCTGGGTTGATTATCGGGACCAGAGTGTCAATGCTGCTAACATTGGATGTTCTTGCTTTGTCAACAGATGTAAATACAGCCATTTTCTCTATTGCTTTTAGAATTAGTCGATGCTGGGAGGAGAAATAGGGATGAGAATCCAGCTAGTCATAACAATAATAGCTTAGCTGTGGGAATCCAAGGACATTGGGCCCAGAGCTAATAGTGTTTTGGTGGGTTGGAGAGCTGGGCAGAAAGCCCGCACTTCAAGCTAATTGGGGAATGTGATTTATGACTGTTTATTGGAGAAGAGAATTGTACTTTGTTAGTTTGTATCCAGGGGAGGGGAATTTAGTTTTTGGTTTCAACTTTGTAGTGCTGATACTTTGTTTCTCGAATAAAAGATTCTTTAAGGTAAACAATGCCTTGAAGTTCTTTTGAAGAATTTCATCTGTGAGAACCATGACACAGAGTTTTAATCTTCTGAACTTTCAGACTGTGCTGGAGCCCATCCTCAGGGAACTTCTCTCTCACCAGAATGTGTTGAAGTATAATTTCTGATGATTATAGGACAGCGATGGCGAACCTTTTAGAGACTGAGTGCCCAAACTGCAACCCAAAACACTTATGCATCGTCGAGTGCCGGGTAGGTGTGGCCCATTGGCTGGAGGTGGCCAATTGGGTGGGCATGGCCAATTGGGTGGGCATGGCTGCAATGGTAATGGCAAACTGGGTGGGACTAAAAAGTTCAGTCAATCAATTCCAACTTTGCAAGAACTTTTTTTTCCCGCGAGAAGTTGAAATTGACTGATTCAACCTTTTTTTTTTTTGGCACATGGCGTCGGAGGCCTAAAGCGAAAAGGTTTTATAAAACCCAGCTGAAGGCCTAGGACTGGGGTGATGATTCGTGTGCCCCCAGAGAGGGTCTGAGTGCCATAGGTTCACCACCACTGTCATAGGAGTATCTATTCTAGCCTTGCTTTCAGCAGTGAGAAAGACAGGATAAGTAAAATTTCATCTGTAGCAAAGTTATTTAATAGCAGCAAAATCAAGTTATGTAGCCCTGAAGAAAAGATGAAGACCAAACCAAAACCAGGCAGGAAACACTCAGTCTTGGAGAAGGAAGCTCCCTCCCATGGAAGGAAGCAATAATTTTGTCTCCCATTGTTCTAGAGGAGAAGTCCCCCCAATCATAACTCAAAATCCTAATGATGTTTAATCCTTGTCATTGTTATAAGAAGTGTGACCTGTTTTACTGTTTAAGAAATAAATTATTGTCAAACCATTTTCTAAGGAAATTCTGCTTTGAAAATTCACAAGCCATCTGCCTTGCACTCCAAGGAGATCCAGCAGTTTAGGAAATGCAATAAATAACAATTGCCATAGGCACAATGGCAAGTGGTCTTGGAACTATATCCAACTCTGCATTTAACGGGAAAATTGTTGGTATATATAGATTCTCTTCTATTTTTGAAAGTTCTTCTTTTCATTTAGTAATTTTATCTTAAAATTATAAGTATTTCCTTAGCTAGAAATATACCATTTTTCTGTTATGTGCTAATTACCAAGCTTATCCAAACAAAGTCATATTAAATACATTGAATCACTTTACAATCAGTTTAGTTTTACTCAAAGATTTCAAGAGCTCTTCTAATAGAAGAACAAAGTTTGAGTTCAAACTTTATTATTTGAAAATCAAAATGTTCTACCTTTGTATAAATGTGAATTTACTAAAGACCAAGTACAGTAGATTTATCTGCAAGTTGACAAACATTAATTAACTTAATCTTATAAACAGTGCTTTTTTTGTAAAAAAAAAAAAAGTTTCTGGAACTCACACACGTCATACAACCCGCCTTGCCTATCCTACAAGGTTCCATCCAAAAAAGGTGCTGGAACTCCGTTCTGGGTGTTCTATGATAAAAAAAAGCCCTGCTTATAAATATTTGGATATTTTTTGTCAGCCTATTTTATTTATTTATTTATTTAAAGTCAATGGGGAAGCCAGATTTACTTAACAACTGTTTTACTAATTTAACAACTGCAGTGATTCACTTAACAACTGTGGCAAGAAAGGTCATAAAATGGGGGGAAATTTACTTAACAAATATGAAACTGCAATAGAATTTTTGGGCTCAGTTAAGTAGAGGACTAACTCTACTTAATTATATCTACATTGTGTACTATAGGAATAGAATACACTAATCTCAGTCTAAATGAGCAGATTAAAAAAAGTAGTGATGTCCATGTGGGCTTCAGAATATCTAATAAATAGTAAGTTGACTTTCTTAAAAAGAAATGAGGACAAATTTGGGTGCCAACAATAAAAGCTTTAAAATCATTTACTAAAGAAAAATTATTATGTTTTTCTTACTAAGAAAGCTTTTGACCTGTTTGAACTAAGAAATTATTTATTAAAGACAAAAAAAGATACAGAAACTCAATGAATTCTATGCACCTGTTCTCAGTGCTGAAGGTATAGCAAAGAAACTCTTATCAAACTTTTTTTTCCAATAAGGAAATCATATGAACTAAATAAAGGGGAAAGCTATGAAATTATAAGTCTCACCGATAAGTTAAAAGTAACCCAAACTTTTATTAAAGCATGATTTAACTGAGGGTTCTCAGGGATTCTTAAAATAGCTTGCTGATATTTTAATAAGAACGTATTCATTTGCTATCCTATCCCATCAAATTAAACTACAGTAATAAAATGACTGATTACTGTAGTAATGTAATTACAATCACATGATCAAAATATGAATGCTTGGCAACTGGCATGTATTTATAATGTTTGCAGTGTTCCGGACTCATGTGATCACCTTTTGCGACCTTCTGACAAGCAAAATCAACGGGAAGCAAATTCAATTCACAAATGTGGCTAAATGATCATAAGCTGGGCAATCTCACTTAACAACTATTAAGTAACAAAAATTAATGACCAAAAATTTCATTTTGGTCATCAAGGATTACCTATAGTATTAATAATATTTTCTTTTGTTATGCACTGCTACTGATAGTAGATGCCTTAAAATTCTTCTATACTTTTGTTTCATTATTAATCTGTATTTTTACTGTCTTCCTAATTACACAGTTCTCACTTTGTCTATTGTTTCACTAATTATAAGCCGCTAAACCAAAGGTAACAAGAGGAGGGATGAGGGAGGAGGACGAGGAGGAGGAGAAGGAGGAGGAGAAGGAGGAGGAGGACAACAACAACAATGGCAACAGCAGCATTCTGCAGCATAGGAGCCATGCAGAAGAAATGTTCAACATACCAAATGTTCAGCAGAAAAGAAAGCAGCCATTCCATGGCCAAAGTATACCAGAACATTATAAACTATTTCCTATTCTGAAAAAAAAATCTTACCGAAAACTGCCATATTACCAGAACTATTAAGTCATCATGTTTCAGACAAAAAAAGGACCAGTCTAGTGTTCCTGTAATAACAGGTCTGTCATATCTCTATACAGTAGGGTTATGTTTCCATGCTAGGAAAGCAACACATAAATATATAGCATTACAGCTACAATATTCTTTTTCAGGGATGGAAATCCATTTTTCGGGCCAGAATATCTTGACACTTTTTTTGAATTTTTTTTTTTTTTCATTTTGTGTCCTTCTGTAACATTCTGAAAACTACATATGTTTTGAAGAAAAAAGAAAAAAAAGGCTAACATTTAAAAAATTAGTGATAACATCCGGATCAAAGAGACATTTTCAAAAATATAGAAGAATGAAATGTAAATATTGTACATAATTAAAGGATGTGTTTTCTTTTTTTCTTTATTGTACATTTTGTAGTATTAAATTATTAGGTGCCTGAGCATCTGGTTCACATCTCCTTCAATACTTGACAGTTTGACTACACAGAGAGCTAGAGACAAATGGCTGTGAAAGGACTCTGCAGCCCTCACAAGGAAGACTTATGTATTTTCAGCACCTTTGATCTCCTGCTTCTACCACCAGAACAGAAGCAGAGCACATCCTTGGCTCTGTATATCTATCAGCTGTCACAGCCAGATGCCATATAACATAAAATACAAACAAAAACAACAAATGTACCCGTGTATATACTACTGGCAAAATGTCAGGAAGTAATCAAACAGCTATATCAAAGAATACAGTCTAAACATTTATTTGTGCACTGTGTTATGAATGAGCCAGCAGAACCTCAGGTGCTATTATAATGAGCAAAGACCAGCTCTTTCCAATTAAATTTATCTATCCCTTCAGGTCTGGCAAGAAGCATGCTGGGGTCCCTTTATGAAGGAATGTCATAGGTGAAGAACCTTTTCTGTTGCGGCACTTGCTCTTTGGGTCATCATTCTCCATCCTTCCCCCGGTCAGATTGGCACCAACCTGGCTGGCTGTGGGGTAGAAAAAGAATAGCTTTCCCATCAGGCTTAGGAATTAGGCAATATAGTGCAAACTGGTGGCATTAAGTGTATTCTCCCGTAAGTTAGCTTTTTATGGTTTTAAATGATTTCTATTGTTTTAATATTTTTAATGATTTTTGTTATTATTTTGGAGGGCTGTTTTTTGTACTGTTTGTGTTTTCTAAATTTTGCATACCAGGCAGAAACCACACGTATGGGATTGGAGGCTACATAAATTAACTGAATTAATAAAGATAAAATGTCACCCACTATCCATACAGTATACACAGGGAAATAAAATTCAAAATTCTGACAATCTCCTATGGAATAATAACTGAAGCTACAATATAAGTTTTATCAATATAACTTTAAGCAGTAAAGATAACCAAATTTTGACAAAACTTTCAGAAATTATCAAATACTGTAATTCTTTACCAAATGTAAACATATAAACATGTGTCCTACCTGTAAATTTTAATCATTAAGGCTTGAATTTCCAATAAATACCAAGAAATGGATATTTAAGATAGGACACAATAAAAAGAGCACTAGAACAAAACTATTATCAGATGACTTCATGCAAATATAAGAGTGTTAACATGACTTAGAATCAACTGGAAATAGATTCCAGTATGGGGAAAAAATAGTATTGCTTTCTCAAATTGCTAGCATACTTACTCCAAACTGTCTTCCAAATCCTTCTGATTTGATTTGCTTAGATATAAATGTTTCTAGGTTATATATCTTTTGTAACATATTGCCATTGAATAGGCAAATTATTCTTTTTTTACCATACTGTATTGTTAAAAAGTGTAAAAGCATGAATCTTCAGATTTGGAGTCAAATAAAATCATAATATTTGGTTTATATTGGTCAGATATTAATTAATATTGGTTTTTAATCTTCTCATACCGATATGATAAATTGCTCAGACTCTCCAGGAACGGAATGGAATATAAATTGTAGAATAAACGAGAATTTCTCAAATATGCTGCTTAATCTGCAGTTTCCACATGTGGCACCTTGACCTGGATGCAGTGTCTTTGACTTCATTTTTTATTCCTGGTATTTTATTTTTTCCCTATTATGATACACTGTCCATCTGGCATGTAGAATATCCTCCTTCCAGAGGCTAAACTGGCATCCATCTTGACATCATTCTGCAAAGCCATTAACATTCTTATAGGGCCTTCACAGATGTACTTATTAATACTGTGTACAATGATGATGGCATTTATGCTTATTGAGTTATTATTGCTTCATTCTCTTTCCTGAATGTTTTATTATTATGTTTGGTTATTTCTTAAACCAATGTCTTGATTCTCTGTAGTGTTGTTTGTCACTCACCAAAAAGACAAGAATAATTCTTGCATTGATGAATAGTTATACCAACAGAAATACCACTTCAGCTCTCTAGTAATAAATTGGAAATAAAATTATGTCTTAGACTCTAAGGAAATAAAGTATCATGAATTCACATTGATTTAACAATTATTTCAAAGATAGGGAAAATGCATTTTCTGACAAAGTTCATTCCATCCAGTTGAAATAATTGGTTAAAAATTAGCATGAGCTATAATCTAATAAATGAAATACAATATACTTTAATTCCATTAACAAATAGATAATGATTGGTGTATTTTGACACAACGATAAAGTGTTGTAGCAAGAGTCAAGAAAAAAAAAGCAATATCTTTATGTGCATGTATACTAGTTGCATAGGTTTATATTTGTAAATATAAGAGAAGGGGCGTTGTCTTACCTGAATGTCTTTTCTCAGCATGGAGATGGAAAATCCACCAATGGGTTTGCTCTATCTTCCTGCTCTTGAGACCAAGTCAGCCAAACTTGCTATGCCCCCTATTACTAGGAGAACCCAGTCTTGACAAGGGCAAAAGTGGCTGACGACAGTCCAAAATATTGGCTCTCAGACTTCTAACCCTGGCCTAACTGACCCTAAGGGTGGGAGTGGATTCTCCATCTCCATGCTGAGAAAAGGTGTTCAGGTAAGACATCACCCCTTTTCCAGCATAGGAGATGGAGAATCCACCAATGGGACATACCAAAGCCTCACTGTCCCAATGGGAGGGAAATGGACAAGTCGGATCCACCTTCCCAGAAACCACCTGCTGAAGGACCCACCGACCAAAGGAGGCATCCGCGGAAGCAAAGTCTCAGCCCTACAAATATCCTCAATGGATGTCTGAGTGGCCCATGCTGCAGACGTTGCAGCGCTGCGAGTGGAATGAGCTGTGATATGACTTGGAGCTGGCAGGGAAAAAGATTGGCGCGCCTCTACAATGCAAGCCCTAATCCACCTGCCTATAGTGGAGGCAGATACCTTCTGTCCCAGAGAGGAAGGCTGGAAGAAAATGAAGAGGGCCTCGGACTTGCGAAATGATGCCGTTCACTTGATGTATCGGCGTAGTGCCCTGTGGACGTCCAGTGTATGCCACTGCCGCTCCAAGTCATGGGAAGGATTAGGACAAAAATCTGGCAAAACAATCTCCTGGGCCCTATGAAAAAGGGAGTTGACCTTAGGCACGAATGTGGGATCCAACTGAAGGACTACCCGGTCCCGGTGGAAGATACAGAGGTCGTCCCTGACCCACAGTGCCGCAAGCTCAGAAATGTGCCTGGCTGATGTGATAGCGATCAGGAAGGCAACCTTGTGGGACAAGGACCGTAGAGCACAAGTTGTGATAGGCTCAAACAACGGTCTGGTGAAAGCCTGTAGGACCTGAGGTAATTCTCAAGAGCCTGTAGGACCTGAGGTAATTCTCAAGAAAGGTGCGTATCCTAGGATGCTGGCCAAAGGGACCGAATTGGCACAGGTAAGTAAGGTTGATAGTGCTGCTACTTGCCTATGGATGTTGTTAGGTGCTAAGCCCCTATCAAGGCCCTCAAGTAAGTATTCAAAAATCTGTGGAATTGTCAAGTCTGAGAGATCCAGTTGCCGCCTTTCATACCAATGGCAAAAATTCCTCCATGTGGAGTCATAGATGCAATTGGTCGCCAGCCTTCGAGAGGTCTGGATCATGGAAATTGCTCTTGTCGAGAACGATTCCGGTCATGATCTGGCATTCAAGTGCCAGGCGGCTAACTGTAGCCACTGGGGTTCCAGGTGTCGTAGAACCCCCTGGTGGAGAGACACGCGATCCAGTGGGATTTTCCATGTGGGAGAGCAGGTAGCCAAATCAGGGTCTCCGAGGCCAGTACGGGGCCACGAAGATTACCTCCACTCATTCCTGTAGCAGATTGACTGTCAGAATCAGTGGCAAAATGCATAGAGTAAACCCTCCGGCCATGGGGCTTGAAGGGCATCTGCCCCCTCTGCCCCTGGGGAAGGAAACTGGGAAAAGAATCTTGGGAGTTGGGCGTTTGCTGGCAAAGTGAACAAATCGAGGACCGGTTGGCTGAAACTTTGTGCCATCTCTGCGAACAGATCTGGATGCAGATGCCATTCCGAGTGATCCATGGTCGACCTGCTCAGGAAGTCTGCTTGCTAGTTCGCCTCCCCCGAAATGTGCTCGGCCCTGAGGGAGAAAAGGTTGGACTCTGCCCAGGAGCCCAGTAACTGGCCTTCGGCCATGAGGGACCTGGACTGGGTACCCTCTTGCCGGTTCACATGGGCCTTTGCTGCCATGTTGTCCATAAGGACTAGCACATGCTGTTTTGCAACTTTGTTGCGAAAGTGGTGGAGAGCCAGGTGTATGGCTCTGAGTTCCAATCAGTTGATGTTGTGGCTCAGGTCTGCTCGGGACCATCGGCCCTGAGCAAACTGAGACTGAAGGTGAGCTCCCCAACCAAACAGACTGACATCCATTGTAAGTGTGAGACAGACAGGTTCCTTGAAGGGTGACCCTCTGGCTACCGCAGGCGAGAACCACCAGTGGAGGGATCTTAGGGTTTGGGTAGGAACCTTCACCTGTTGGTTGGATGAACCTGTTCCAAACCTCTGGAAGGGGAGCAGAAACCATTGGAGACTTCTGGAATGGAGTCTGGCCCAAGGGACTATGGCAATACAAGAAACCATCTTTCCTAGGAGTTGGGAAAGTAGGGCCAGCAACACTACACTTTCCCTGCATACCTTGAGTATTAGTTCCCGGATACTGTCCTGACGCTCTTGTGATAGATAGACAAGGCAACTGACTGTGTCTATGATGGCGCCAAAGTGTAGGATTTGAGTCGAGGGAACTATGTGACTTTTTTGGAGGTTCACCGAGAATCCGTGCTGTTGAAGGACCTGGATTGACAAATTCAGGCCCAACTGGGCTGCCAGAATCCAGGTAGCATTGAATGCGTACCAGCACCAGTCTTAGGTGTGCCACAAGCACCACCAGGATTTTGGTGAACACTCTGGGAGCTGAGGAGAGTCCGAACGGTAGGGCCCTGTACTGGTAGTGGTGGCCCATATAACAGAACCTGAGGAACCACCGGTGGTTGGGAAGGAGAGGATGTGGAGATACGCTTCCATGAGGTCTATGGACATCAGGAAGTCTTCTTTTCTGATGCTGCACAGGATGGACTGGAGCGTTTGCATTTTGAATTTCCGGCATCCAATATGGGAATTTAGACCCTTGAGGTCTAGAATCGCACTCCATCCCCCTGAGGGCTTGGGAACCACAAAGAGGATGGAATAGAATCCCTCTCCCTTCTCACCAACTGGTACCAGTTCTATGGCTCTTATGTCTAGAAGATGATGAATGGCCTCTTGCATGAGGCCCCGTTTGATTGAATTCTGTGACTGGTGGCAAGAGTTGAAGTGCCCCGCTGGGCTAGATACGAATTCCAGGGACAGACTGAATTGGACAGTTTGGAGGACCCAGGAATCTGTGGTGGTGAGCTCCCACTGGTGGAAAAAAAGGGATAACCTGCCATCTCTGCCCGGGAGTCACTTGGACTTCCTGAAGGGGCAACCTCCCCCACGAAAGGGCCGCTTGTCCTGGTACTGTTGCCTGGATCTGAAATCAGATCTATCGGACGGACAA